TCACTATGGATTAAGAATTTCCAATTCAGGTTTACTTTAATTTAGATCATCTTGGTAATCTGCTCCACCGGTTCATATAATTTCCTTAAAAATTTCAATACTGACACTCTTACAATTATTTCAATCTGTTCATTTAATGACACCCCCTCCCCCTTCTGAAAAAATACACAAGTCAAAAAATACTATATATACTAATACAACAAAACAAGAAAAAGTTCTTACCTTGAAAAGATTTTATGCATTAAATGCATGTAAACAATTATCATTACATTTTTGTGAAAGCGAAAGTCTCAATCTATGAGCTAGAATCACTCAGCAGTTAAATTAAAAAGTCCAGCCAATTTAAATCATTTGATTTGACAGCAGGAAGTCACCATGTTTCAAGGTTTTATGTTTTGCTTTTGTATTTAGCAATGGCTGTTTTGGAGGTGAATAATAAGAACACTCTGAATTGCAAAACCTCTTTACCACGAAGACTTTTAACTGCTCAGATTATTTAAATAAAAGTACATAATTAATATCAATATGTGTATAATGACTTAGTGTCATTGAAAGAAGAACAATTCCAGTAAATAACTTAATAGATTATAACCTGCTTACTTCTAGGATAAAAGTTACATTATGAAATAGACCTTTAATGCTAGCACTATTAATAAAATTAATCCTAGCTTTTATTAAAGGCATTTTTTTTTTAAAAATAAATATACGATTTAACATTTTCTACTCCAGTAATCAGATGAATCTAACATCAATAAATCATCTCATTTGAGTTTTAATATGGATTACTTATTGTGTTAAATATACTACACAATATTTTGTTTTTTCTAAATCCAATTAATACATGCAAAGCAAAACTAGAAGAGCTCACAAAATAATACCCCCACTTTTAAGCTGTCCATTCACAATTTTGTAAGTGACCTTGAACTTGCAAACAAGACTAAAAAACTGACACATCCTCTGGTCATAAGTAATCTTTAAGTGAAATATGGACATCCAATGTTTCTCCATTAGAAAATTTTAGACCTGACATGAATTTTAAACTTATTCTGCCAGTGACTTTGAACTTGCCACAATGATCTTTGATCATGGTTGTGACATACTTTTAGCTCGAAAAAACACTTTTTGTTTGAAGTTTCAATTAAAAAAAAATTCATACTTTTTCTGTCAGTGACCTTGAACTTGCCAGAATGACACCTTCAAGACAATTAATATTGGAAGTATGAACTCCCAATCTATTAGACAGTTATAGCCTGGACACAAATTGAACATTTTTTCTGCCCATGACATTGAACTTATCAAAATGACCTTGGGTTAGATCATGACAAACCCTATTCAAGTCATAAGTAATCTTTGTGTCAAGTACCTACTTCCAATTAGCCTCCATTTGAGAGTTACTAACAGGTCTGAATAAATTACTTTTTTGCCAGTGACATTGAACCTTCTGGAATAACCATGGGTCATGATCAATACATGCCCTCAAATCTCATGCAATATTTGTGATAAGTATAAGCCTCTAATATTCTCCATTACAAGAAAGAGTCAGGACAGGAATTGAACATTTTTCTATAAGTGACCTTGAACTTGATCAAAATTATCACGCAAGCCAATTGCTTGATCATCATCATAAAACAAAAAAAAAAGACAGTAATTCCTTATATTTATATGATTCCATAAATTCATGTGCTCGATCCAAGCCCCGCACACTTCTCTCTAGCTCTCTATGTCTCTCGATCATTCCCACCCCACATTTGATTTTTTTTTTAACCACGTCTTTTGATGAACCAATAGCTTGATTATGAAGAAATCAAGTCTTTTAACATATCATTTGCAGTTTTGTCTCAGACAAAGAAATTTGAAATGTAAATATTTAGTATGAGCTTAAAATGGTTCTCCATTACAAAGTTATAGCCTGTATAGAATTTTATACTTTTTCTGCAAGTGACCTTTAACTTGCCAAAATTACCTTGGGTGAAGGTCAAGGCACATCCTCAGGTCATAAGCAATCTTTGTAACAAGTATGGGCTTCAAATGATTCTTCATTACAAAATTACAAGATTGCACTGACAGACAGATGGACAAGGTGATTCCCCGACTTCGTTTGTGGGTAAAAGAAATAAGCATGTACCTGGTATATCTACTGATATATGATATATTGTTAGGAACTTTGTTATATAAAAGAGTTCCAATCACATCTTGTTTATAAATAACAAGTTATCAGCAAATTATAATAACTATCCCTTTTTCAAATTATTTAGCACCAAGCAAGGGAGTTAACTACTGTAATTAAGGTGCACTAATAAATATTCCTTTCATTCTGAGGTGTACTTTCATGGGTATTTGGTACAATGAAATCCCATAATGTATCAAAATTAAGCAAAACACTGACCCTTTTTGATAAATATTTACCTGAGAATGACCTGATCCTTGTAACTGTCCATATACTGGTATAAGCATCTTCATATTTACTTCCTTCTGGACACTCTTGTCATGCAACCAGGTCAGTCCAGGTCACTCTGGTTCAACCATCACCATTCTGTACAATTAACACAGGTTTTAATAAACACTCATCCTGCAGTGTTATCAATTAATGTCAAGTTGTTCATTCAAAGCAAAGGTTAAAATTTCTCTGGAAGGAAAAAATATACAGGAATGTTTTAATGCCATTTCTAGTCAACCTCACAATTCTCTTCTTATTAGGAATGATTGGAAATTAGGGAGACTGATAATGTAAAAGTATGTCGCTCGACAAATCAATCAGTAAAGCACTCAGTCAATCTTTCTCACCAACAAGAGTCCAGCTACAGCAATTAGTCCAACTCTGATTAAGTGGAAATGCATTTTATGAGCACCTTTAACCACAACCAATTCCACACTGTGCCTATATATATTTGAAATTAATTAGGATCTTACTATGAACTATATCTGGAAAAATGTATTCATTGCAAATAATCCCTCTGGGCATTTGGTCTAATCACTGGCTTATAGATGATGCAAACAAGATATTTGTACAACATATTTCTCATATATGATGTGCAGACATGGAAAGTTTTAAAAATCTTTAGTTGAAGCATGTAATTTTTATGATTCTACAGAACAATCTTTGTTGCAACAAAATCCATCTCTCCATGAAATAACACAGATTTAAAATCATTTTACAATTATAACATCTGCATATGACAAGAGAAGAATCTCTGTTTTAGTATGTATCTTCATGTGCTAATAGTAGACTCAGTAAGACCGATTTTCTGATTTAATAATTTTAAAAAGATTATTGAATTGAGTGTATGTGTCAGACACTCATGAAAGATTCATACAAAAATCAGAAATATACCTGAATAAATTCACATCTAACTCAGCCTACACAGGATTCCTCTCCATAAAACTCTCTCAGTGGGACTGGTATTTGTATAATGGAGAGACTGGGGTAGAAAGTTAACAGATTATATCTGTTGCATCAGATCTTAGGGGAAAACTGTTTGTAACTTTCCTGCATTTAGGGAAATGTCATCAACAAATAGTGATGAGTTCAGCAGCACTTTTCATCCAACTGCTGAATGCATATTCATGAAAATTTCCCAATTAAATGCAATGCTGTTTTGCCTATTGCTCAGATTAAAAAAGGATTTTTTTTTACAGTTATCTGTACCACAATCACTAAATTCTATACTCAAGAAATAGCAGCAAAGGTTAAGCTCATTGGAGTCCTAAATATTTACAACTTAACCGTAGACTCCCTTTCTTTTAATATGGTCCATGGTATTGTTTTATTTGCTGAATTCAATAATTGATGATTGCCGAGTGTTAGGGTTGTACATATTAAATAGCCTTACAGTAAACCTGCATCATGCTGGAATCTCTTGAGAGCAGATCTTCTATTGATTTTACAGATTTTTGGGCAAGCTCTTCACAGTGATAACTGTCCATGCAACAAGAACATCCCTCATTTGCCTTCACTGCTATAGCTCATCATGTGATTAAGAATAAAGAAGTGTTTCTCTTGGTTACAAATAAATATCTTGGAACCATATTAATTTCCACTGATTGCTAGACATTTAAGATTAATTATTCCAAGAAAGAGATGCTCACTGCATTTCATACAGGGCAACTTAGAAATTTTCATCAAATGTCACCTTTCTTATTCAACAATTACGTAAAAGATATCCCAGTACAATGACTAAATAGAGTCAATTTCAAAATTCCAACTAAAGGGTTATGGTATAATCAAACTTGAATCTACAACTACATGCTTCAATATTGATATGGCTATAGCTTTGCTGATTTTTTCCCCTGTACACATGTAAAACTTGATTCCTGACTTCACCCCACCCTTACCCAATGCTCTTATTATTATTTGAAAGAATTTGAATGCACATCACTTGGAAATCTTTACATTACTGCAATTGTGACCCTGGTTCTCTCGAATTTTTTATTTAATTTCCTGTATATCTTGTCACATAAAACTTTGAAATCCTATTTTTGCCCCACCCTAGTCCCATAGGCCATGATCTGAACAATCTTGAATCTGCACTATGTGAGGATGCTTGCATATTCAAATGAATAATTATGGCCCTGTTCTTCTTGTACAGATTTTTTATTATACTGATCCCATATTGTGTCCCAACTCTACCCCAGATGATGCTTGCATATCTTCATGCCACTCACTGTTCCTTAGAAAAAAACTTTATTAAAAGAGTTTTTTCTATATTTATGCCAAGTACAAATCTGATCAAGTATTCTGGCCTACTTACCCCTTAGGGCCAAGATTTGAACAAATTGAAATCTACAGAACCTAAGATGCTTGCTTAAAAGCTTAAATATTAGTTATCATGGTCCAGAGGTTCTTGAGAATGAAGAAGATTTTTCTCATATACCACCATTTAAAACTCTTATTCCCTACTGTGGCCCAATCCTTCATAACCCCCTCCCAACAAGGGCCATGATTTGATCAAATTGGAATTTACATTCATGCATTAACAGACCGGCCCGTTTTTGGTAGGTTTTTTTTTTTTTTTAATGAATTTGTCTGTAATAGACTTTTATGCAGCAAATTTTGTACTTTGAATGCAAAAAATTTAAGTGCTTTCACATAAAACAAATTTACTTATTGTTGTATTTGCAGAAGATAGGTTGACAATACGCATCAAAAGGACTATGCTGAGTCTAGCCCAGTTGGTCTTCTAGCATTTTCAGTGACTATATCTATATTTTTATCTTAATATTGACAAGAAACATTTTTGTGCAGAAAAAATTATCCTGATTAAATCAAACACTGTAAACCAACTTTTATTCGCATGCCAGAAATGTCCACGAGTTTCGCAACCAACTTTAACATGCAAATATTAATCGTCGCGAACCATTTATTTTGTTTTGTATTTGTAGAGAAGATTTCCTCAGTCGTGAAATTAATCATCGCGGATTGATTTCAAACTAAAGAATTGCGAATAAAAGATGATGCAAATAATAGTTGGCTTACAGTATTTAGGACTTTCTTGATTATGACACTTTCAAAATTTTGGAAATTTCTCTCTGTCTATGCTTGGTGTTGTTCATCATTGCCATGTTTAATTAAATGACTAAAGAATGAGAAAAATGTTTCTAAAAGGACTGAAATAAAATGTGGTCATTTTATTTTTCAACCTTAGGATGGTGTTGGGGTGGATGTAAGTGGGCTAGCAAAAAGAGATTCAGGCTAGTAAAATGTTACCATTACTAGCCCAATTGGGCTAGTGCTGCAAACAGTTTTTTGGCATAGGCTGTATGTCTTAAATTTAATTTAGACAAAGTAATACATTAGACAAGTAGAAATCCATATTAATCATATTTAGAACAAAAATCATAAAATTTACGGGCAAACCAGGAGAGTAGCAGGTTTGCATTAAGGAAACTTGTAAGTTTGTCTTTTCTGGCCCAGTGGTTATGAAAAAAGATTTTTTAAAATGAATGATGCCACAAAATCATTAATATTTCTTTATCTTATCTTGAAAATGAAGTGCCCCCCCCCCTCATTTGAACAATTTTGAATCCCCAATTTTCAAAATTTCTTTCTGGCAAGTTTGTTTTAAATACGTTCTATTTCCATTAGTGAACTCTTCAAAATTAGAGGCGCGTTTGGTAGTCTGACTGGGACAGCATGGTGTTGCAGATAATACAAAACATGCTAATCTCAATCCAATTTCAAATGTTAAATGTATTTGTCATTCTAATTAAAGAATAGAAGAACTAAAAGACATATGTAAGAGAGCGAGAACCCTAAATTTATCATCCATTAATAAAAAATATCATTTCCGAGGCATGTGTATTGTATTTAGATGTACATACGATAAATAGATACATACGATCAACAATAGATATAAATTGATATCATTGTCATTCCTACTCTTGATGTATATAAAGTCCACAACAATAAAATATTTCATTTGCATTTTCTTAGGAATTGTTCATCGGCATTCAACATATTGTTTACATGTTTATGTTACGTTTGTCCCAGAAATCCCGCGAGATTTGTACATTTTCCGACTTTTTCACAAAAGAGCGCACTAAGAAGTATAACTCTTCCATAGTGGAAATAGAACGTATTGGCACATATAGTGGTTCTGATGTGAAGTTTACAGTCAGACAAATTGATGCTGGACAATTGGTGATCAAAAAAGCTCACTTGAACTTATAGGCATATTATCTCTATCACTTGATGCCAATGTCTACTGCTTTTTTAACTCCATTTCCAGCCTACTGCTTTTTTTTAAAAATGTGCCGCTTTTCTACAAAAAAAATTTTTCTGCTTGGGTAACCATTTTTGAAACCACTCATTCATAAAATCTCATTTGTTTTAAAGATATCATGTGATTTGAACTAGGAGCATGCAAATGCTTTTTTTCACAACAATCTTTACACAAATTTCAATCAGACACATTTAAAGCTGTACATGGCTCATAGGTGGGCATAAGCCATATTAGTTTTCCTATCTCCTACATCAGCACTGGGGTATGTAAAACCTTTGCACTCATTACATCTGATTGCTTTTAGCTAGCAGCTGAAGTGTGTTGTACAAGTATATCTTACGTTATCCTTTTTGTTTACATTTTATTGCACTGAACTTGTATTTGTGTTTATTTCACTTCGTAATGCATTGTCTGGGGGGCCAATTGAATTTCAGCATTTTATGACCATTTAGAGTGCATAACATAGCAAAGTAAAACCATATTTCACATCTGATGAAAATTTTTACGTTTAAATTTCCAGTTTTTATGAAGGAAAATATTATTTGAGCTTTTTGTTATTGTTAGGGGAATTTTTTACTCATCAAAAGGTGAAAATGGGATATTCAGGGGAAATTTTCTCTTTGGGAAAAATACCTACTCTCGGTAGTAAATATACCATAGATTAATCCGTTTTTGTCTCACCAAGCATATCACAATGATAATAAAAGAAACATCCACAAAGGTGAATCCTTTGAAGAGATATACATTGATTCATGAACAAAGTTGAGGCCTATATAGGGGC